GGGCTCGACTGGGCTGTCCTGGGCAGCTGGGGTAGATCTAGAGCGCTTCGCAAAGTGTCATATTTGAAAAGTAAGAGCCCCGTGACAATTGGGACAAGGCAGTGGCATTTGAAGGCTGAAAGCAATTCGATTTATTTCGCTTTGAAGGACAAAGGCTCATTCTTCTGAGAAGAAATCAAAACACATTTTCTGTGGAAAAAAGAAACCATTTTCTCCGCACTGCCAAGATAAACCAGGCAGAGGGCAAGTGCGCTCTTGGTCAAGGAGCCAGGGATGTCACACAAATAGACTGTTTTTTTTAAGGAGAGGATGACAGAGAGGGACACTGCCTGAAAACATGTTCTATGGAAATGCAAACGCTATTTTTACATTTCAAATGAGTGCCACGGGTGCTGGGCACTGTGTGTGTGAGCTGCCGCTTTGCAGGGCACAAGAGAATTCCATACATTCTCTTTGCACTTGCCTTCGTTCATTGACTTAAATAACCTTATGTGCTGCTTCAGGCAACCAGGAGGAAGGGCAGTTAAAAACACTTTCAAGGGGCTGACACTAAGATTAGAGCCCCCATGGGCTTGGATCAGAGCCCATGTGCACTGGATGACAGAGAGCCCTGCCAGACTGCTGACTCACCACAGACCCTCCCTGGGGCTCCTGCTTTCTTTGCCCCTCCCCCTTGATGTGCACAGCCTGCTGCTTCTCTGCCTAGAGGATGAGGTCTCTGTATCACTAGTCAGCATGCTTCTCTAATGTGCCGGGGCCTCACAGCCCCATCTTAGCATCAAGGGACCGTCCAGCTTCCCCATCTTCTAGGACTTTGGAAATGATGGCTATGTTCTCTATCTGCAATAACCAAATGACCCTGGTGGCATAGCACTGAACTGCTAACTGCAAGGTCAGTGGTTCGAACCCACCAGTCACTCTTCAGGAGAAAGATGAGGCTGTCTGCTCTCGGAGAGATTTAAAGTTCCAGAAAGGCAACGGAGCAGTTCTGCTAGTTCTGTTTTGTCCTATAGGGTCCCTTTGAGTCAGAATAGACTCAGTGGCAGCGAGAATGTTTTAATATTTTACTCTGTAACTGACTACCAAAAACCGAAAAATTCACAACCATCTAGTGGATGCTGACTCACAGCAGCCCTATAGGAGAGGACAGAATTGCCCGTCTGTTTCTTTCCGAGATGGTTAACTCTTCATGGGCTTAGAAAGCCCCATCTTTCTCCCAGCACAATACATGGAAGAGCAGGACCCTGAAGAACCATTCGATGCAATTACCAGTGTTGTCATCACTAGGTCCTGGCAGATGTTGCTTACTCTGCGGGCCAAAAACACCAGAGTAACTAACTCAATGCCACGGAGTCAGTCTGACTCGTGGCGATCCACGGCGGATGCAGAACTTCCCCCATGGGTTTCCGAGACAGGAGCTTGTGCCGCGTCTTTCTCCCATGGAGGGGCTGGTGCTTTCGGAACTGCTGACCTTGTGGTGAGCACCCAAGTGTGAACACCACATAGCTGAGCGAAAGCCCGGAGGTTAAAATACACACACTGGCACCTTGGAAGAAAGGCCTGGTGATCTCCTTCAGAAGAGTTCACCATTGACAAACCTGTGGAACCCAGTTCTACTCTGACACGCGTGAGATGGCCCTGAGTCAGAATCTATTCAACAGTGACTTTTAAAATAACTACTATCATCTCCATCATCCTCTTTCTCTCCATAGATGCCTCTTGCTTCCCTTCCCGAGTCACCCATAACTGACTGAGGAGCCAAAGACAGACGCCTTTGCTTCTCAGCTTTCAAGAGAGTCCCCTACTTGACCTCTGCACTTAAGGGCCTGGGGCCAGATCGCCCCAGAGGTCAAAGGGCAAGAACTACCACTGAATCCCACTCCCAACTACAGCCCACATGACCTGCGAGTAGTGATGCAGACAGACAGAGCTGCACACCCGTGTTCGCGGCAGCACCGCCCACAGCAATGAAAACTGGGCAGCCACCAAAATGCCCATCCGCCGGTAAGCAGAGGACCGAAAAGTGGAGTCCTGGCGCAGTGGTGACATGTTGGGTTGTCATCCCAAGACGAGCAGTCTGAAACCCTGCAGCCAATCTGCAGGAAAAATAAAGGGCTTCCTACTTCCATAAAGAGTTACCGCCTCGGAAACTCGCAGGGACAATTCTCCCTTGTCCTATAGGGTCACTGAGAGTGAGCATCAACTGGAAGACAGCGAGATACATACATACTCCGTGCTGAAGAGGAGTGAAGTGCTGGCGCATGCCACACACCCCACCTCCTTCCCTCCCGACTCAGCCACATCAGCCACAAGGGCGTCACTGCCCCTGTGCAGGAGCGTCCACTGAGCCTGCCCTGCACGCCGGCCCTGGCCTTCCAGGAGGGTTCACAGGACTCTGCCTGCCACCCCACAGGAGGCATCCAAAGGAGGATGGCCTGTCCCGGATCCACCACCAGGGAGGGATACACTGGCACTGCAAGCCTGTGTGCTCTGACACCAGGGCCCAGGCTACTTCCCCGTGAGTTCAGTCATTTCCCAACCACTCCCCCCCACCAGCCCGACTCTTTGAAGCTCTGACTCTTCTGCGTAATGTTCTGACTGGGATGGCTCCAAGGGGGGTTTAAACCAGGATCACGTATGTGTCCCGACACTTAATTTTTCTGAAACCTATAAAAAGGGACATGAAAGTGACAAATGCTATTCAAGCCAGAACAGAAGGGGAGACTGAGATGAAAGCTAAATTAACGGCAGGTCATCACCGGTTTTTTTGGGTTTCTTTAATAATCACTTTTAGGGGCTCATACAACTCTTCACAATCCTTACATATACCATTAGTGCCCAGCACATTAGTACATATGTTGCCATCATCATTCTCACAACACCTGCATTCTCCTTGAGCCTGGGTGTCAGCTCATTTTCCCCCTCCCTCCCCCCTTCCCTCTCTCCCTGAAACCTTGATATTTTATAAATTATTATTATTTTATCATATCTTACATCATCCAACGCCTCCCTCACCCACTTCTCTGTTGTCCGTCCCCCAGGGAGGAGGTTATATGTAGACCTTGTCATCTGTTCACCCTTTCTCCCTCAGGTTTTTAAAATGAAAAAAAACAAAAAAACCCTTCTAAAACCAAAAATTGCGAAATTATGAAGCACTCATTTTTGTTTTTAAATTTCCTCAAAATAATGAGTGGAAAGAGTAATATTCCTCCTGGGAGTTCTTGAGAACTGGTGCACACTAAGAAAAGTGGTCTCCACCTCGATTAAAACCCCAAACCAAGCCCACAGCCATCCAGTTGATTCTGGCTCAGAGGAACCCAATAAAGCTTAGTTTAAAAGGCTGTAAATCTGGTTCTTTCTTTTTAATGAAAAATTCGTGTATTATTTGGGCAGCACGAAAAGAAAGGGGGCGGGGGAGAACCAAACAAACCGTCGTATTTCTACGCTGAAGGGAAGAAATGTTGTAACCTTTTTATCAATCATATACATTCCATAGAAAATGTATTCTGTGACGGTTCCGAAGCACAGGCAACGCTTAACACAGTAATACCGGAATCTGTAATGTTGAACATGACTCTTCTGACAGGGTTTGACAAAATAATTTTTCAACTATAAAACCAGTGGAGAATGCCTTCCACATAACCGTACCAAGAGTGAAACTGAGTTTGTTCCATTAATACTCTAGCAATTTCATTTGCTTTTTACTGTTGTGACCATTTTAAATAACTTTTTCTGTATTTAAACTAATGCTTTGGAAATGTTGATGGCAACATATGTACAAGTGTGTTTCATACAATTGAATGATGGGTTGTTACAAGATCTGTAAGAGCCCCCCAATAAAGTGTTTAATAAAGATAAAAAGAACAAATAGATGCCAACACCAAGGTGAAATTAAGTTTTAAATGTGGAAGGGAGTACAAAGTTCCAGAAAAAGGATTAATAGTTGAAACTTAGTAATAATACTTTCCCTCCTGTCTTACCGATCAACAGTAGTGATACATTTTAGCAGATAGGGGTTGAACTTTAAGACACAACCCTAAAATGATAACTTAAATTTTAAATTTTAATCCATTATAACTAGAAAGATTACTGTATCTGGACACTCTTACAAGAATTTCCTTTTGTAGTAAAGCAAAAACCAGTCTTAAACCCTTTTATTCAACTGTATATGCTGTTTGGACAAAGCGCAAAAACAGAAGACCATCATTTTTATTTTTATAACTGATATTTCACTGCAGTCTTCTATAACTTAAGAGTTCACGGTCCCATTTATCACCTCACCCTCCATTTCTCCTAGGTGGGGAAACAGCTACCACGGTAAACCTCTCATTGATACTTAGATTTTCTGGAAACGTGTTCTGTTGGTTACTATTCAAGAGTGACTCCATTTGGGCACTCTGGGAGGATGAGGCTGTCGATGTTCACTGTAGCTGAAAACCTCACCTTTCTCCCACAGAGTGGCTGGTGGGCTTGAACTGCCAACATTGCAGTTTGCAGTCCAACACCACCAGGGCTCAACCACTAAAGGAAACCCTAATTGGTTTGTTGCTCTGCTCTTTTCAATGGGTAGTAACCCTAGAATTGATGACCAGGTTAGACTTTGTTTGGCCAGCATGGTTTGTTTTAAAACTTATAGTGATTTTACATGGAAAACTCTGGACTTGGGTCCTTTTTTGAGTAGGAAAATGCAGCCAGCAGCAGGTGCTTTCTCCTTGTGGGAATGTTAGGGCAATGGATGGGAAAGTGAATTCCAATTTGCCATGCTTTGTACTACTCCATAATGCCTCTCTCCTCGGGATCGCGTACCAAGGCCCTGGAGGCACCCATGTTCAAGGCCTCCTTATGAGAAGCTCTGGACAGAGCAGCAGTACTCAGGTCCCTGCTGTTGTACTTGTTCAATGTCAAATGTCATTCATACACAACCCTACTCCCCATAGAGGCTCTCGGCACCTTCTCTTCCCACGGCCCCCACCCCTAATGCCATCCACACTCCAACTCACCTGCTACTCTGTGCCACTCCGGTCCCTCTTCATGGGTGTCACAGGCACCTCCCCGTTGACGCCTTCGGCCCCACTGACTGACATCAAACTCCGCCGCTCCTTCTGATTGGACTTGTGCTCCACTTTTGTAACTCTAAACCTGAGGGGCAGAGAGAAGATGCCATTGGTTCTGTCTTTCAGAGAAGCAAGAGTTCTGAGGGTCCAAACTCAGCAACCCAGATGATTCTGGTTAGTAAAAGTGGCATTTCCACCCAGGAACCCCAGCCCTGCCACACAGGCCAGCCGGCTTTCCTCTCAGCCACACCACACTGTGCTCGATGGCCTGTGTTGTTGTTGTTGTTGGGTGCTGTGGAGTCGGCTCTAACTCATAATGACTCATGCACAATGGAACCAAACACTTCCTGGTCCTGCGCTCTCCTCACAATTGTTCCTGCGTCTGAGCTCAGTGTTGCAGCCGCCGGGTCAATCCATCTTGTGGAGCGTCTTCCTCTTTCTCCTGGCCCCTCTACTTTACCAACCAGGATGTCCTTCACAAGCATATGAGACCCTGTATATGTCATACAAAATGCATATAAACACAAACCCCCTCTGCCGCTGAGGTGATTATGACTTAGAGCAACCCTGTGGGCTTCTGAAGCTGTGCATCTTTTCAGGGGCAGAAAACCTCATCTTTTCCCTGGGAGCAGCTAGTAGGTTTGAACTGTTGACCTTACCGTGAGCAGCCCAATGAATAACCCATTATGCCATTAGGGCTCCTATCCAGGTACTCAAATATTAACAGCTTCAGAGTTGTGGTTTCTTACAATGATGTGCGCGTTGCTGTGAGGTGCCATCCAGTCAGCTCTGACCCACAGCAACCCTTTGCATGAGAGAAAAACCCACTGCATGGTGCTGCACCATCCTCACAATTGTTCCTCTGCCTGAGCCCACTGAGGCAGCCACTGGGTCAGTAACAACTAGTCGAAGGCCTTCCTCTTGTGCACTGTCCCTCCACTTTACCACACAATATCCTTCTCCAGGGACTGGCCTCTCCTGACAACAAGTCCAAAGTATGTAAGACGAAGTCTTGCCATCCCTGTCTCTAAGGAACATTCTGGCCTTACTTCTTCCCAGACAGATCAGTTTGTCCTTTTAGTCGTCCATGTTCAATGTTCTTCCCCAGCACCACAGTTCTACATTCTTCCTCAGTCAGTGTCCAACTTTCACATGCACATGATACAGTGAGAACTCTATGGCCTGGGTCAGGCACACCTTGGTCCTCCAAGTAGCATTTGTGCTCCTCAGCACTGTAAAGAGGTCTTGTGCAGCAGTTAACCAATGTACCACATCCTTTCATCCCTTGACTGCTGCTTCCTGAGCATCAATTGTAATCCAAGCAAAACAAACTCCCTGACAACTTCCATCTCTTTTCCATTTATCACGTCACCTATATTGGTCCAGTTATGAGGATTTTGGTCTTCAAGTGGTAATCCACACTGAAGGCTACACTCCTTGATCTTCATCAGCAAGTGCTTCAAGTCCCCCTCACTTTGGGCAAGCAAGGTTGTGTCATCTGCATACTGCAGGTTATTAATAAGACTCTCCTCAGTCCTGATGCCACATTCTTCTTCATAGAATCCAGCTTCTCTGATGATTTGCTCAGCATACAAATTGAACAAGTGTGGTGGAGGATATGACCCTTATTCACACCTTTCCCGATTTTAAACCATGCAGTATTCGCTTGTTCTATTCACACAACTGCACTTTGATCCACGTACAAGCTCGGAATGAGCACAATTAAGTGTTCTGGAATTCCCATTCCTCTCAAGGTTTATTATGAACTACACAGTTGATTGCATTTGTATAGTCAATAAAACACAAATGAACATCTTTCAGATTTGTGGGCACTAGCATTGGTTTTCTTAACCAAAGAGAGCCAAACAGAGAGGTTTGCAAATGAAGTGGATTTAATCAAATGTTTG